CCTGCTGGTTGGCAGATGTTCCTCTTTAAAGCAAATATGTTTGCAAACCTCAGGCACCTTTTCCTCCGAGGCCTCAACTTAAAAGGGCAGTTAGCAATGGACTCCCCTGCTGGCTGGGAAACTTCAGAAATGGGAGACCGTGGCAGCGGCTCAGGGCTGGGCCACGCCACTGCCTGCTCCGGCACCCCCGTGCTCTAGCTGCAGCGGGCTTTTTTATCTGGAGCCTTGTCCACGTTGGCCCTGCCTGGCAGGCCCTTGCAGCTCGTCCTCTGGCCGACTCGGAAGCCCTGTCCCTCCCAAGGCCAGCCAGGTTCCCTGTCTTCTCCCCTCCCAGAGGCCTCGCTGAGTGCAGAGCTGGGCTGCCCACGGGCTTTGAGGGCAGGAACTATGGACCATCCACCTCCGGAGGCCTGGCCTCTACACGCCACCCAGTCAGCGCCTGCCGAGCGTCTCGCCAAAATGCACTCTGAGGGCCCTGGTGTGATCAGGGAGAAGAAAGCCTCCCGGGGGTGGGCCGTTTGGCCCCTCTCCTGAGGCACCCCCAGTTTTTGGGAAATCCCCTCCACCCCAGAAGACTTGATCCCCCCTCCCTGTCTGCCTGGAGCGGCTTGGAACCCCCTTCCGTTGACCCCGGTTGATGTTTATCTTCCTGGTGATTTGTGAGGAGTTTCCAGAATTTATGAGGTCAGGGGTCAAGTGAGAAGTTAGAGGTCACAAGTCCATCAAGAGGCTAAGTGCAGATGAAAGGAAGGGCTGCTGTCCGCCCACACCGCCCTGAGACCTCCTTCCCCAGGGGACTCACCGGCCTCCTGTTCGAGGAGAGGACTATCTAGCTCAGTCTTGACCTCGGCCACTCGAAGCATGGGCAGGGGGCAACTGAGAACTGACAAGATGCTTTCAAACACAAACACCCTGGCAGCTACCATAAAGACTGAAAAAAGTCTGAAGCTGAAGAAAACAAAAACAAGTCAAAATGAATGAAGCACGCATTTTGCTCAGCGCACCGACCTCTGGTTTCACCTGATTTTATTGCTCTCATCATTCCTTCACCTTGATTTTCTCACTTATGCAAATCAAATTGTCAAACTGGAGCCCAAAGAGCTTGTGTTTCTGTGTTATGGCTATAAATATTTACTAGAGATTAAATGGGGAAATTTATCTCTATTAGTTTATTTAAAAACGGAAATTTAAACTTTAGTACACATTAACGTTAGTACGTCTTTGGTTAAAAACGGTATTTTCTAAAACAAGGAGAGTTGGCTGAGAGGAGGGGTCCTTGCAGAGGAGAAGGGGCGGTGGGTATGGTTCTCGACCATACTGTCTGGAGCCCTGGCCCCTGGTTCTCCAGGCGTTTGTCACCCTTGCCTGTATGGGCGGGGAGTCTCTGTCGGCTGGGCCTGCCGCAGACCGGGCGCTCTAGGGGCCAGTCAGCTACTGCTGCAGCTCCGAAAGGCGTGTGCACTGTAAGGCCCGTGCCACTACGGCCCTCCCTCCCCCGGGAAGCCTTCCTTGGCCCTCAGGCCCGTCAAGGGCCTTTTGGATACCCACGCTCTCCTCGCTGTAGGGTAGCTGTGTGGCTCCCCTCTGCTCTCCAGGTGACTCAGGCTGAGCTCTGGGCCTCCCCAGTGACCTCACCGTCCAGGGCAGGTCTTGCCCAGGAGGGGATGCTCTGGATCCCCACAGCAAAGGGAGGGGAAATGGAACAGCCTCGGGTCTGGGTCTCCCAGCTGGGAGCGGCAGCCACCAACAGCCAGGCTCACGTACGGCTGGACTGGGTCTCCCAGCTGGGAGCGGCAGCCACCAACAGCCAGGCTCACGTACGGCTGGACTGCTCCTGCTCGGCCCGAGTTCTTCTGGACGCTCCTGACACGGTGGTCGTGAGAGCATTGCCATCATATTTAAAAATGACCCTAGCAACCACCCCAAAGAAGGCCACAACGGCCTAGCTAGGGGCCGGGGGTACGGCTTCCTCTGTGCGGGTGACTCAGCCCCTTGCCCAGCTGTGGACGCGGGAACTGCGTGACCTTCCCCTCCACTCTGGGGCGGCACTGGCTTCCGCGGGCCACGAGGAGCTCGGCTTCACGGCTGGCAGGACCACAGATGGTCAGGGCCGGACGGCTCCTTGCCATCCATCTTCCAAATGCGGAAAACGGGGCCTCGAGGCAGGGGTGACTGTCCCAGATCATACAGCAGGCCTGGAACCCAGGCCGCTGGGCTCCCAGCCGTGGCTCTCCTGGTCTGGGGGTCACTGAGCGACCCTTGTGGGACTCAGATGACGGACAGGCAGCACGCATTTGCTGGGGGGTGAACAGAACTAGGAACCCGGCACAGAGCTGTGCTAATAAATGGTACCTGTTACTATTTGTTGTCCTCGGAATGAAGAGCCTATGAAAATTCAAGGCAAATTCAGACTCTGTGAAGCTCTCCGGACACCCCCTCAACGAAGCACAGAACCCCTCGCTCCTCTTTGACCTTCACCCCGCTGCCGCTGAGCACGAGGGCGGAGCCTCAGCTCACCTGCAGAACCATCACGAAGCCTCGTCTCTCCTGCTGGTGTCACCTCTCTAGCCTTTCCAAACAGCGTGGCGTTCTTCGAGCAGCCGTGCTTTATGGCAGCTGGGGTCCCGACCTCTCACCTGCTTGTCCTCTGAGTCCCCACTCTCCCTCTGCAGCCACCACCGGCCTTCCCACTGGGCTGGACGTATAGTAGGGCGGCCTCGGGCAGGCCTGGCCCACGCCCGCTGCAGCTGCTCCGCGAGAGGTGACGGGCTCTTATGAGCAAGGTCACTCTGGCGGCGTCCTAAGCAAGGGGAGAGCTCAAGGGCTGGCCTATGAGACCCACGCCTCAGGGCAGCACCGAGCTGAGTGGCTCCCCTTGGCGGCTAACTGATGCCTTCCTTCACTCTTTGGGCGCGGCTCAAGCTCTGTCCCGCAGACCGTCCTGGCTTTGTCTCTTCCTTCCAGCTGGCACAACGCTGAGGGCCGGCTCTGCACTTCTCCCGTGCCTGTCTACCTGCGGCCGTCCCGCCCACCAGCCAGCGAGCTCCGAGAGGCCGTGTCTTGTCCTTGCTGTGTCCCGCGCCCAGAACCCTGGCTGCACACGGCAGATGCTCAGGAGATCTTACTGGGGAGCGGATGCAAAGGCGCCAGAGGGAGAGTCCAGCCCCCAGGCCCAGCCTGGCCACGTGCTCACCCCATCAAAATGCTCTGAGGAAGGCTGAGCCTCGTGCAGGAGGGGCCGGGGCCAGGGCTCACCTGCTCGTACCTGAGCCTCTGGTCAGATACCTTCTTCCCTTTTCTTAGCTGACCAATGGGTTGTCAGAACGTGTACCTCCGAGGGTTGCCGTGAGGCTCAAACGAGAAGACCGTGAAATGTGTGTGGCACAGAGCGGGTTCCTAAGGAAGCAGGGCTGTTCCTAAAGCTTCTTTACACTGCTGCTGCTTCTCTCTGCCTTGTGTAAAAGCGAGTAGCTGCTCAGGTGCTCTCTCCTGCCAACCGTGGGTAATGTGAGGGGAGACCTGACCTTTATTCTTTTCTGTATCCCAAGTACCCAGCACGGGGCCTGCCCAGAGTTAGGGGTCAGCAAACAGTAAACTGAAAGAAAGCAAAGAAGAATGGGGGCGAGAAAGAGAGAGAAGGGAGGGAGAAGAGAGAAACAGGGAGGGAGGAGGAGGAGAGAGAAATGAAGCCTTTCTTACCTCAGAGCAGATTAAACCCATTGCCTATTATTTAGGGGACAAGGCGAGAGGCATAGAGAATTTGGAAAGCACTATTGTGGCATTCGCTGCTGTGTGTTCTATGCAACACAGCATCCCAGGTCGCCTGATGTAGGGAATTCACAACGCACGTTAAAGGCTCTGAGAAGTCCTGCAGGCACTCGTGGATAGCCCCCTCCCCCTCACTTAACACAGTATCCTGGGGAGCTCTGCCCCAGCCCCTCTGGGAGGCTCTGGGTTACAGGCTTAGAGACCCCAGGGTGGCACACTTCAGCCCCTCACCTTACAGATGAAGCCACGGTGGCAGAGGGACTGCGGAGGCACAGGGCGGGGCAGGGAACACGTGGAGGCTGGCATGGCTTCCTCTGTGCCTCAGAGCCTCAGGGGTCGAGCGGACGGCTCTCCCTTCTTGTCTGCCCAGGAAGGCGGTCCTGAGCACTGCGAGCTGACAGGGGTAGTACTGGGAGGACTACTGCTGAGGGCCACGGGGCCAAGTGGAAGTTTGGATGTGAAAGGTGAACCCCGGGGGGGCATGCAAGGT